TAGAACACAAGTAAAAGATATGAGGATATGAGTAAATGGGGTAGGGTGGGGGGGAGCCTGCAGCCAATAGAAATATATTATGATGATCCTCATTCTCCCTAACTTTCTACCTTTAAAGGAAAAAATAAATTTGGGTGGAGAAAAGGAATGAGAAGACACCTACATGAAATTTTTTGCTCAACAGTAACCAAAAAGGGTACTGGGAAGGTTGAGTTATGATCCAACCAGAAAATCCAATGCATGATCTGTGAAATTCTAGGAATGTGGATACTTCAAAGTGAAAAGTTCATTTATTGCAGAGATCTGAGATCCTTTTTCCTCTTCCCAGGTAAAAAGAGGTCATTATGGAGTTCAAAGAACAGAACTCCTACCTGGAGACCGTGACAACCTAGCCATCCAAACTCGAGGTGGCCCTGAAAAGCACGAAGTAACAGGTTGGGTTCTGGTGAGTACTCAATACAGATGAAAATTTAATTCCTTAAGATGAAGAGAAAACAGAAGGGAGCAGCTGTGTAACACAGTGGAAAGAGCTCTGGGAAAACCTGAGTTCAAATCCAGCCTCAGACGTTTACTAGATGGGCAACCCTGGGAAAATCATTTAATCGCTCTGTGCCTTATTTTCCTCACCTGTAAAATGGGGATAATAATAGCACCTACCTCCCAGGGTTGTTGTGAGGATCAAATAATAATTTTAAAGTTTCGCACAATACTTGGCCTATAGTAACAGCTGTTCTAAAGAACAAAATCCTGTCCCATCCATATTCCTTGAGAGCCAGAATGGCAGTGGACAAGGCATTGGACTTGGAGTTGTGAAGACAAGGGTTCAAATCTTTCCTCACTGTGTGGCACTGGTAAATTCACTTAACTGTTCTGTGTCTGTTTCCTCATCCTTCAAAATAACGAAGCTGGATTTCTTAGGACCTGGAGTCAGAAAGACTTGAGTTGAAATCCAGTCTCAAAAACATACTGTGTGACCCTGAGCAAGTCACTTGACCTACAACTGTCTCAATTTCCTCATCTGTAAAATGGGAATAACAATAACAATAATAATAATAGCACCCATTTCCAAAGGTTGTTGTAAAGATAAAATGAGTTAATATTTGTAAAGTGCTTTGCCAATTTCAAAGCACTGTGTAAATATCAGCTATTATTATTAGACTCATTGGCCTTGAGAATCAGCAAACTTGCATTCAAATTCTGCCTCTCACACTAAGCATGTCACCATGGGCAAGTAACTTAATCTCTTAGTCTCAGGCAGTTCTTAAAGACTATAAACCATAGGCAAGATTTCAGCTGTGTGGGTGGAGTTCCCACAGCAATAAAATCACTTAAGGTCCTTAACATACTAATGTATCTTTTTTCTTCTCTTTATCCTTTACTGTAACTTGGTGTTGATTGTAACCATTATTTTAAGAAATCAGTAATTTGAAATACACATAACTAATTCAGAAACTCCCACAGTAGTAGTCACTTCCTCTTAAGATACAATTTTATTTTTTATGATGATCCATGTTTGCTATGTCTGATGTTTTCCCTATCATGAAACCATTCATGATCTTTATGTCTTCTGTGGTGAGCTTTTAGTGTCTTTCATTTCTTAATCCTGAACTATTTTTCATCAACCTATCTTGTGCCTACATTTGTAATGAATATAGCAAGTATTATTCAACACATTGATTTGTTTGGAGAATTCAAATTTGCCATTAAATTTCTCTAACTCATCTTTTACAACATATGACAGTTGTCTTCATGGTAGCCTTTTTGGTTCTCTTCATTATGTGTACTTCAGCACGAGATGGCTATGTGTCCCATGAAATAGAGAGTTTCTTATTGTCTTTGGGTGCACAATGATACCAACTTCACTGGCTCTCAAGGAGAACCTGAGTTATCTTTCCATGTAGCTGAAACTGTTTTGTATCTTCTAGTTTCATTTCATTGTGAGAACAATACCTATAATGGTTCATTCCCTCTAGAAATATGTTGAATCTCTAGTCATTAGAAAAGGCATTCACATTTGGAGTACCAGTAGTTAAATTCATGTTTGTAGATGGTTTAAAAATTGATTCTTTAAAACAAAAACCTGATTCTTGGCATTCTGTATTTCTTTTTCCACCACTACAAAAGTAGGCTACATCAAGATGAAGGGCTGTCTTTTTTCATTGGGTTGCCGTGGCCAAAGAATTCATCACCTAATAGCCAGGATACTGGTGATAAATCTCTCCCTACTTAGCTGGGCCACACCTCAACACGTAGGCATGGTATGTCACCAGAACTGGATTCAGAGCCTCTCCAGCATGTCAGAACCTGGCAGAAACCTCATAAACCCAGACATACTTTCACAACACAATGAAGCATCAGGATAAGATGTTTGTGGAGGAGTACCAGATTACTCAACACTAAACATCATGTATTTTTAGAATACCCTCTATAACACTCTAACTGATCACTGTCCAGCCTTGGTTTGAATACCTCCCAAAAGCCTCTTCCATTTTCAGATGGCGCAAATTGTTAAACAAGTCTTTGTTATATGGAGCCAGTTTTGCTTCTGTGTAATTTTTACTCTTTGGTTCCTGTTCTGCCCTTTAGACTTCATTCCCTGAAATTATATTGCAAGAATGTCAATATTTACACACACACATAAAAAAATTTCCATCAGGATGGAAACTGATCCAGATCATAGTACCTTCTTGTCTATGCCTTCTCATGCTGAGTAATTCTCATCCTCTTTTACTCTAATTACTCTATAATCTACTCAAATATGCTGGAAGCCTTCTTGAGGCTATCACTCAAGCTGTCCACTAATTATCTTTACATTCTACATTACTGGCAGGCTCAGCCTCCTTTACATTATCCATTTAGTGATGGACTGGCTCTATTCATCATTTTAATAAACCGCAAAAGTTTTAAAAGAATAGTCAATGGAAACAATGAAATAGTGCCTTCATAGATGGTATGACAAAAGAGGGAAATAAAAGCTCACTCTGGGGAACCTCAAATGGCTTTTTCTTTGACAGGTGTCTCCTCTGAGTAAGGAAGATGCTGGGGAATATGAGTGTCACGCTTCAAATTCCCAAGGACAGGCTACTGCTTCAGCAAAAATTACAGTGGTTGATGCCTTACATGAAATACCAACCAAAAAAGGTATGAAATTCTAAAGCCAATTGACTTAAATGCTTTTGCAAATAAAAGCACATCAAATGATATATAGTAACAGGTTACTAAGATCATAGCGATTCATTAACAGCTATCTTTAAAAGGGCTGTTTTCCTAACACTCACTATGTGGATATAAGGAATGTGGTTCTGATGTGTACATTTTGATGTATGGCTAACTAAATTCCCTAAAAATTACTTAGATGCATTCCTCTGCTCAACGTCCATTCTCAAATACCTTATTACTGACAAGGGTAACAACCATCCTCTGGTTACCCAGGTTTGCAATCTCATTGTCACCTTCAACTACCTCTCCTTCAACCCACATTTTCAATCAATTGCCAGATCTTATCAGTTTCTTTCTCCATAGTATTATCTTGCATTTGTTTTCTTCTCACCACCCACACAGCCACCAGAGTGATTTGCCTAATGTGCAGTGACTCCCTATTACCTGAAAATATAATATAAATTCTTTCATTTAGTATTTTAAACCCTTCACAACTTGTATTTCCAGCATATGGACACAGCAGACACTTTAAAAAAGTGATTATTGATGTCTCTGATTCAAATAACACGACTTGGTTTTTTAAAATATTTTTTCCTACCGCTTTCTGTCTCTTAGCATAGTATTTTCCATATTTATAAAACAGATAGTTATTTGCAGGAGATTTCCAACACACCCCACAATTCCTCTTCCCTTAGGGTATGCCCTCTGTCCTTAGAGAGGAAAACCAATAAAGAAGAATGAAAAAGCCAATAAGGAGGAATGAAAGCATATAAGAGGAGAAACACCTACAGAATCTAGTTCTAGACTATATATTGCTACTAATTCTCTTCTAGAAAGATCCACAGAGGAGCCTGCAATAATGAGGGTCCTTCCTCTTCTCTAAAATTGTACACACTATTTTCTTACTGCCTAAAGTTCTGATCAGTAGGGAATACACTTATTTTTCATGGAATAGTAGCTAATTTGCCCCTCTTTGTCACAAATAGCCTGTACAAGGTGTAACTATAGAGATAAAATGGCTTCATAATAAGCCACATAGGAAAATTTCTCACTCTTTTGTAGTTACACCATGTATTTGTGAGATGGTAAATTAGAGCAATCTCAATCCTTTAAATTAGAACTAAGGCAGCTAGTTAACATTTGCTGTATTTCTTAGCCTAACAGAGAGCCACTGAAGATAGTTTCACTAACATAAGTCTGAAATGACCTTTACTTAACCCTAGAATAGGAATAATGGAATTCTGCTTTTCAGTCTCAATCAGATTATGCCACTTAAAGTATGGCTTAACTTCAGTAAGAAAGGAAGTAGCAATAAAGATCTGCTTAATCAAGAGTTCTACAGTTACATACAGACTATCCTAGCAACAAGACTATCTTCCTTATCAGAAATTATACATTATAAAGTAGAAATGGTTCAGTCCCTACAGAGCCCTAAAACTTATATTATGATGGCATAGCTTACATACATTTGGCACAATACCTCTTTACTTAGTGATTTGTAGGTCAAGTTTCCACTCTTTACATCTGATCATTCCAAGAACTCTAAGTAAAGTGACAATGAAAGGTCATCCAACTGTGCATGTTTTTTGCTCCTGCCTTGCTACTGTTATTATTCATAACTAATTTTTACATTTTCTTTTTTAAAACAGATGAAGGTGCTGACCAGTGAAATCCTGCACAGTCTTTACCAGTATGCATAGTTTAAAACAGTCATGGAAAAACTACAATTATTGTTGTCCAATTACAAGTTTCTTTTAATCTAATCCACTAACCCTTTACATTGTATTCACTGGTGTGCAAACATACTCTCTTCATAGTATAAAATAAATGATAACACCAAGTCTAACTACAAAACTTTATTCTCTATTTACAAAAAAAAAGTGTCATTAAACAAAACTCTGCACTTACAGTACTGTATATAAGAGGCTTGATTTTTTTCCTCAGTACATACCACTTCTGCTAAACCATGCTGCATTGTAGAACCAAATCACAGCATGGTGGTATTCACAAATGATTTAGCTTACATTTACTTGAAATTTTTTTTTTAATTTCTAAACACTCATCATTCGAGGTGCAATGCTCATAGACATCAATTCCTGGAAAAGGAGTTTACAAGCATAGGGCATTCGAACCAAAGAAATCTGAAAAGAAAAAAAAGAAAACCATAATTAGCAACATTAAACAATTGAATATACCCTTGACACTTAAGACAGGGTCAAAGTAAACTGGTTCACTCTATAGAACTTGCACATGAAGTCTGTACATGTACATACCTGAGTTTTATTACGACAGCCTCTGCACTCGTATGTATGTGTCCTGGTGTTAGCTATTGCCATTATTCCACAAAGATTGCATACGTGAACTTGATATGGATCTGATGCTTCAAATAATCTTTCCCTTAGAAACTGGGCTGCACCATGAGCAATCTGACAATCTCGTTCCATTTCTCCAAAACGCAGGCCACCATCACTGACATGGAAAAATAACAGTCTATATTAAGATATTGACAGGATTAATGGTAAAAGGTGTCCATCTAAATGACATGTTATTAATAAGATGGACTGAAAAGCTTTTATACTTACTCCTCTTCCGGGGGAAAAAAAAAGCTACAACTCACAACATGGCTCACAAAGATATAAGAATTACTACTTATTAAAACTGTAAGGAAAAATCTAACAACACAATTTTACAAATGATAACTGCTTCCAGTACTTTAAATACTATTTATATGTAGCCAAGCCAGCAGTTTATCTGTTTGGTGTTTCTGCAAAAAAAAAAAAAAAAAGCTTCAAAGACATCACTTGCCTTTTCAAATAGGTCATCCAACACAATGAATACAGCAACATTTGTACTGATCCCATATTTCTCCCTACATGAAAACCTTTACAAAAAATTTTTAACAGTAATAAATGCAAGTATCTCCCTACCGAGATCTACCCTCCATGGGTTGTCTGTTAAGGATCTGAATAGGCCCTCTGGCACGAGAATGAATCTTATCATCCACCATATGCTTCAAACGCTGGTAATAAGTGGGACCAATAAAAATTTGAGATGTGATTTTTCGACCAGTAAATCCATTGTACAGGACCTGAAACAGACAAGGAAATCTTGAAGCACAGACTTAAAGGTACATTCCACAAGTTGAGAGATCAAAATGTAAAGAGATTATTAATGTTAAGGATGTCATACCTCATTTCCTCTGAGATGGTAACCATAATCAGATAACAGATTAGAAATCTTCTGCACGTTGACAGCATCATTAAATGGTGTGGCATCACCAATTTCACCTTTATTAGCTGATACCTTTGGAAAAACAGAGTTATTTCTTGAAATTCTGCTCCCCCATCCTTGAAGGCAATCTTAAAAATGTACATTTAATGAAAAGACTCTTTTCCATAAAGTATCATAAGGAAAGATTTCCTACTTAATATCCAGGGTCCTGAAAATCATGACCTCTAGAGCGAGAATGGTTTAGCTTTACAGAAAATATTCACACAGAAAAAACAATTTCCCCAACAATAAAATGACCTTAAATCAAATGGATCATAGTTTTAGAGCTGAAGCTTTCGACTTGAAAGACACATATAAAGCAGGATGAGACTTTGAAAAAGTCCTTAAAAACATAAAGTTTTAGAATACAGAAAATTTAATCATGATTGTGTAAACAAAATTCATTTAGGACTTCGGCATAGCCTTCCCACACTTTAAAAATTCTGAAATATAGGCACATCAATTCCCAATTTGAAATCAGGAAGGAAGGCAAATTATAGACTTATTCTCCTGAGTCAAGGATGACAGTGACAAAGTTATGTATCTTAGATATCTGATATTCCTTACCTTCCCTTGAAGACATTCAATCAAGTGACCAATAGTCATACGAGAAGGAATGGCATGGGGGTTTATGATGATATCAGGGGTGATACCCTCACAGGTGAAAGGCATATCCTGAAAGAAGAAATATGCTGACTCTTTTGTATGACCCAAAATTTGCCTCTAACATCCCTATCACATATTCACTCAAGTGTTGATATACAGTTTAATTTTTATCTCCTGTTTGACTTTAAAAGCAAATTTTTAAAGTCAAATTTCACCAAAGTCTTAGGGGAAGAAAGAAAAGAAAACACAGCTACCTCTTGCCTGTACTGGATACCACAAGTACCCTTTTGACCATGCCGACTGGCAAATTTGTCTCCAATCTGTGGGATTCTAACAGAACGTACCTGAAGTCAAATAAAAACAGGTCTCAGTTAAGTCCATGACTACCAGTTTACTTTCTGTCCTGTTTACACAGATAAAAACGCACTCACCCTTATTTTGCAAAATTTATATCCTTCCTGGTTTAAGGTTACCATCACTTGGTCCACAATACCAGTCTCACTAGTTCTGAGGAAAGTGCTACAGTCTCTCTTGGTGTAACGCCTATTTGTGCTCTCCAGTTCATCTTCATTTTCAGGCAGAGTTACTGTTTTGCCAATAATAACGTCATCTCCTGATACACGGACACCAGGAGCTATCAAACCGTCATCATCCAACTTGTCATAGATAGCATGCCTCATACCTACAAAACAGACAAAAAAATCCTTCTGAAACTGCCCCACATCATATAAAAACTTAAAAGAGTTAAATGTTACCCTATGAAAACTAACATACAGCATATGTAGATTATTTTAAGTCCAAAAGGTGGCAGAAATCTCCAACACAATCACTAATATTCTGTGTTCATATAATACCTCTATTCTAAACATCTACTTCACTCTGAAATAGTATTATGTAAAATGGATCAGCTGTAAGGAAGCCAGATTGTTCTCAACTTGATATAAGCTTATTATGTGATCTTAGGTAAGTCTCAGTAAGTTTCCTAAGCTGTACATGGTATAGTATTAACCCTTATGCCTCTTATGGTATAATATTAACCCAATTATGCCTATCAAACCCAAGCTCAGTGCCACATCAAAGTAAACAAGACTTTTAATACAGTTCCAGAATATTTTTAAATTTGACCGGAACTACACTGTTCTCTGGAACATCCCAAACATCTGACTCTGAATTACTGTACAAGTACAGATTTTTAAGTTCCAATAATAAATATATGATTTTTTAAAATGAAATCACTAAATGTGAGATATTATTTATCCCATTACTTCTTTGTTAAAAATTATCTGAAAGTTAAAGTTGCGTATATATGATTAAAAAATAAGACCAAATTCCATAGCCACATAAAAAAATCAGTCTCAATACTTGAGTCATTTCAAATACTGACTGCAAATGGTAAAACTGAGGCACAATGTACATTAGAGAATGGAACTTTAAACTTGAATATATCAATAAAACATTGTTCTTCTCATGTTTCTCAAACTTCCCCTTAATACAAGGCCCAACTAACAGTTATGTTATGAACTAAATACAAATAACTTTGGTCCAATTCACATTTTATAGAATATATTCTAATTATGTAAACCACGAGCCACTGTGGAACAATCTAAAATACAGTGACCTAAACAACATGAAGAAAAATTCAATGATCTATAAAATTAAAGTGAATTCCACAATTTTTACACATCAGCCTCTCTTACCCTGGCATGTTTCACGTGTTGGTTTTTCAAATACCTCTTCTTGGTCAAATCCTTTCTTAGATTCCTGTTCTTTGTAAGATCGATAAAAAACTGACCTGAAAAATAATATACATAGGCTCTAAGGCAATTTCTTTAGAGACATAGTAGAAACACGCTCCATTTAATTCCATAGTAGAAATAGACTCCATTTAATCACTTCAGAAACATAGTGCAAAACGTAAAGCAAAAGACAAGAGAAATGGTAGAGAGAGTAATTTCAAACCTAAAATGGCTCTTAGACCAGAATCAACACAAGATGCCACTTCAAAATCAGCTTTTTCCTTAGAACCCAATGACATTTCATCTCAGTAGAAGTCACTTGGCTACAAATAACACTAGAGGTTCACCATCATTTGAAAGAGTCATTAAGCCACTGGCTTTCTATATTAAAAAATTCATGATATTTTATATATTTGCCTCATTCAGTGATCACCCTTTGTATGTGATGCAGTGACTTTGAGCTAATCCACAAAACTTCATGAATGAAAGCAAAATACAAAAATGTTTCAACAGCAAAATTTTCACTGACTGTATGATGGCTAAAAATGGAGACAACTGCTTTCTGACTAAATATTAAAGAAACTAAATATGAATTTCAAGAAGTGAGATGTTAGCTAAAATCGTAAAAAAGGAAACAAATCAAAAAGATATCTTTAATACTCCCCTCTGTTTGTATTTAATGAATTTTACAAAAGCTAACCTGAAAAAACCTCTATCAACAGCAGAGCGGTTCATGATAACAGAATCTTCTTGATTATATCCAGTGTATGATGCAATAGCCACAATCGAGTTGATACCTGAAATATATTAGATCCACACACTGAAGATTAAGGTATGAACTACCCCAAAAAAAAAAGACAATTTTATTTAGAATCTATTGCATTTCTTCATATTTTCCAGAATGCTATCTTACAGGTGGTGCACACCTAAACCTGGATATTCTGATTAATGCAATGATTGGTTAACTAAACAGGTTTTATCTTTTTTATCCACATTCCAGCAAGCAATTGTTTTGACATGAAAATAATGTCACCAATCCCAATTCTGGTTATCTCCAGGCCAACTACTACTCATGGCCAATCTTATTATGATCACTACTAGTCCAAACCCATTTTCTTCCACAGTCTGCTGATTCCTTTCCCTATGGCACTACAAAAGTTTTTCAGAGCCCCTGGCCTCTGTGCATTACCAAAGACTCTGAGTATTAGTTATCAGGGGGGAAAAAACCCAGCAACAATATTCTGTATAACTGGTTTTCCATATTCCAGCTAAATAAGAAATCACATTTTTATATGTTTAAAAAAATTGGTTAGCGCAAAAGTAAGCCAAAAGTTCATTCACCCTTTGCTGGGGATGAGGTACCACAACTGATCTCTTAACAGTACAGGAGCTAAATGATGCTGGCAACCACCCAAGAACACAATGCTTATCACTGCTAAAGGCAGAACTAAGATACTCTGAGAAACGTGCCTTGGAGCTTCAGGCTTTCAAGAGGTCTCAGGCAGGAAGAGAGACTGGGGTAAGGGGAAGATAACAGGATGTCCTCACATACATCTCTCTCTCCAAAACCCTAGTCACAAGCTACCATTAAGCCACATGCTACCATTGGTATGCATCATAAGCTACTGATTCTTGCATTAGTAGAGCTAAATTCTAATCAAACATGCCTCCTGTACTGGCACTATAAAAGATGTTATAATGAAACCATTACAGTAAAGTTTCTTTCATCAGTCTGAATTCCAAAAATACCCTTCATTATAAGAAATCTGCTGACAAAGGTAGAAATACAGAAGGCAGAGGGATGTATTCTAAGAGGTAGAGTCACTCCCCTTAAAATAAAGCAGACTGTTACGCCCCATAGCTAACAAATTACACGGGATGGGATGCTCCTGCCTCTCAAGACAGTCCTCCCCACTCCATGACAGAGGTCACACAAAGGTTCCAGTTGGATGACAGACTCTTAGGAGTCCCTATGTTAAAGCACTTTCCTTAGACAAATCTAGACCTATTGGCTACTGTGACTTTATCTGATAAAGTACCACTGTTCTCTCTGTCACACTTCCCTGTTTGGCCACAACTACCCCTAAGCTAGACCTAAGATAAGAACTTCTTATGGCTTGTTCTAAACAAAGACCAAGCCTGTTAAAAGAAACTTTGTAACCAGAGCATTTGTTCATTAATTTTCACTGTATACTGTAATAGTCAGTTATGTCCACCAAGAAAGAAAATCTGAAAATTAAAGGAAAGCATGAGAGGGACATGGAAGACAAAAATCAGAATTAAAAGGTCAAAAAAAGCATAATGTCCCTGCGTGGAATAATTCCAGGTCTGCTTTAGCCATTACTCCAAATGGTCTTCTATATCAAGAAAAAGGAGGGGATTTTTCAAAGTCCAGTCAATTATCCTGCAGTTCTACATACTTCTAATTCCAGAGAAGAAAAGTACTTCATCAAATCATGCAATCCAAATATTTTTTAATAAGCAGAATTACATCCACAGCCAAGGGCATGAGATCAGTGTTGAAAGAATAATACTAGATTCTTCAGTACAACAGTAACCCCTTGTGGAGGACTTAGTAAATTTAACAATTGTAGCAATGGATTTTCCTATCAAAATGCTGTACAGTCCCTGCACAAACTAAAAAGCCGGGCCACTTTGCAGTTTAACACAAATTGAGTACAGTTAGCGGCTAAGAGATTATTATCTAGATTTAAGTTCTAAAGTGACAATGATGTCAAAGAAATACACAATCACTCTTTTACATATGGGAGGTAATAAACTAACATACCTGCTGGCAACTCTCTAAACCGCAGATACTCCATGGACCGTGTAGTCACAAGAGGCTTTTGGGGATAATAGAGCACGTGAGCTAATGTGTCCATACGAACGTGGAAGTTGGTAATATAAACACCCATCGCCTGTTTACCCATAGCAGATTGATATGTGTTTCTAGGAGACTAAAAGCAAAAAGATGAAATGTCACTGAAAAATTAAAGCATACAAAAGAATGTATACTATAGATGGAACTAGATTCATCTGATAATTTGTCCAGTAAACCAAAAAGGCTTTCTTTTTCCTTAAATGTTAATGAAATGGTACATTCAACATTAAAGAATATTTCTCAGAAAAGATATCAATTATAGTTCTTAAGAATTAAATACAATGAAGACATTAATACATTCATAATAGTATAAAAAAGACATAAATGGCAATCACTACTGAACACCAAGCTTCATGACTCTACAAATATATTGTAAATAAGTACAGTCAGTGTGTACACAATATTCCTGATTGTTTTTCTCCTTTATATTATTTTGTACAGAACTTTCCAAATGTCTGTACACTGTACACATTCATCATTCTTTATGAAAATGTAATGTCCCACTACACTGATGTATTACAGCCTGTTGGGCTATTTCCCAATCCTTGACACTGAAGGTTACCAACTCTAAGTATTTTCATACACATTTTTTTCTTTTTAATTATTTCCTTGGTAGTTAACACCAATATTGACATTACCAAATCAACAGGACTGACCAAGCAAATGGCTTTTGTTAAATATTGCTAGATTATTTTCAAATGTACAATCATACAGGCAAAGTACAGGTGTACCTGTTTTCTCAAAGCCCTTAAAACATTAAGTTTTATACTTATTTCAGCTAAATTAATGGATGTTGGTGTCACATTCTGATTAACAATAACTAAATAATGGAATTTTTAAAAACCAGAATATTTTCCCAAGATTTTATTTGCTATTTGTTTCATCCTTTGTAAACTGGCAGTTCATAAACTTCATTATCTGACAGCACACTCCTCCCTGCCTCCCCACATCCCCCCAGTGACTACATATTATCCTCATGAACTTACGTCCACTCCCTGTATATTCTGAAGTCAATCCTTTACCTAACAAATTTACTGGAAGATCTTTTCACATGTTGCTTTTCTTTTTATCTTTGTTTTCCTGTATTTAAATGTTTTAAAATTTTAATAAAATCAAACTCATCTACCTTGTCTAAGAATTCCTTCCACTACTCAGGTAGTCCACATTTGGAATAAGCATACTGTTAGGTTTCTCTTAGTTTTTTATAAGTTTTTTGTATTTACTTGTAAATTCATCTGGAGTTTACTGTGGTATATGATGGGAAACAGATATAAATTTCTTTTTCTTCATAATGTTATCCACTTTCCCCAACAGTATCACTGAATAACAAATCCTAAAAATATACTCTCTTAATCAGAAAGAGTTTTCTCAAAAACAGATCACTGTAAACTAGTCTCATATTTTATTATATTTTCCCACCTTGCTTATTATGATTCCTCAAGATTATACACTATGAGATACCAAAGTGCTACTAACCTGATTGTGATCAGGAAAAGGAATAATAGATGCACACACACCAAGGATCATTGATGGGTGAATTTCACAGTGGGTATAAGTAGAACAATAAGCAACTCCCTTCTCCTGTAAGTCATCTGGAGTCATGGCAAGCATCACAGTTTCTTCTTCAAGGGTATCAATATATTCCACCACTCCACTGGCCACAAGATCTTGCCAACTGAAAAATTAAATAAGTTTTTCCAATTCTTTATAGTTCCTAAAATCCTATACACATTTGCAATTTATATTTACAGGTTTTATCTTTACTTTCTCACTTTTAAATATATCCTGTTAAATCTGAACATGACAGAAAGACACTAATGCTGAAATGTGTGATTCAGTCCTTTCCAACTCTTCATGACCCCATTTGGGGTTTTCTTGGCAAAGATACAAGAGTAGTTTACCACTTCCTTCTCCAGTTCATTTTACCAACAAAGAAACTGAGGCTTAACAGGGTTAAGTGACTTGCCCAGGGTCACCCAGCCATTAAGGGTCTGAGGTCACATTTGAACTCAGGTTCCCCTGATTCTAGGCCCAGCACTCTATCCACTGTACCACCTAGCTACCCTAATGTGGAAATACAACTGTCAAAGTTCATTTTTTAAGAAAAGCCTAATTCCCAAATGCAATCATTCAAAATACACACATTTTCCTTCTAAATTCCTACCTGTAATTGTTATATTCACGTTCTTTTAACTGATCAATGTGCCTCTTCTTCAAAAGTAGCTTCTGTTTTTCAACGATTAAAAGTGGTCTGCAAATTCGGCCTGCATCTGTATATATCCGAATCTCTCTCTCTCGAATATCTCTGATCATAGAAACCTGTTTTTTAAAAATAAAGAAGGATGATGCATCTGTATTTTCTCTATGTCAGTAAGATTTAGCTAAGAAACAAAAATAACAGGACAAGTTCTCACAAAATTTCTGAGGCAAGTAGTTTAAAAAAAAATCATCTAAGTTGTCATTTTCAATATACATATGATATACACTACACATAAAATAAATCCAAAATTTGTGTTTATGTGGGTAAAAAAGTGCACTTGATTAATCAGAGACTGCTGTCCAAATTAATGCCATACAACTAATAAATGAAACATTCTTCTAGAATCACTAAGGTAACCAGTAGCACAATTTCATTTTTTGCCTTCTCACTGAAAATATCCCAACTGCATATGGTACACAATACACTTTATACCACCATTCTACAATCTACTGAAACCCTTCACTTTCCTGGTCCTAACCCTGCCTCTGTCACACTTATCTACTAAAAGTGAAAGGATATTAGGCAAATGTCTTGTATGTTAATATGCTTAGAACAACATTTCTAATAACAAAAATTCACATTTATATAGTGTCTTAAGATTTATAAAGAACTTTTCTCACAGCAACACTGACAAAAGTAGCATTTTATCCCACTTTACAGAGGAGGAAACTAAGGCAGTAATCAACAGATTCCTGGCTGTCAAGATTCACCTCACAAGCCATGAGGGTCCAAAGCAATGATGTTTAAGGACACTGTAAGATTAGTGAAGACCTAGTACAGCTTTGGAGACTCACTCAAAGCTAAGCATCAAAGAATCAGATATCATACCTAAGATCTGAGGTAGCTTAAATGGCATTCTGACTTACCCCCAAAAATCTGTCTTGAATACTAGGGAGAGTATAAAACCTACCAAAATCAAAACTTTGACTTATCAAAAGATTCTGAGTCTTAGTAAATTATTGCCAAGTAATTATTGGAGTAAGATTTTCCTGTTAGAGGAAAAATATAATTAGCTGTACCTGACCAAAAGGACTCAAGTTTCTGACTTAAGAAAATTATGTGATCTTCTGTAAGGACTAGGTAATTTTTGTTTGCAAAGCATCTCCAGAAAAGTGTCAAGAGGTCAAATGCAAAACTGTAATTGGAGGTAAAACAAATTCAAGGGCCTCACAGGAAAAAGCAAATAAAAGTACATCCTAGATCCCTTCTACAAGGCATGCATTCAGTTACAGAACTTCAATTTCTCCTCGAAATCTAAATGTGGAGTGCCTACTGAGAAAAGTAGCTGAGAACTAAAAGAATTACCGTATCTTCTCCCAATTTGTGAGTGAGTATGTCTCTAATAAACAGACAATATCTCTCCTCCCTCATTCAAGACACTATATAGTAAGCAGTTGAAGTTGATTGGTAATAAACCTACTCCACCTTCCTGGGAAACATATAATACTCAGATCTACTTTTAAGACCAGGAAAAAGAAATCCAAATCTGATTCAGTGGGTGGATGAGTTGTGTTCTTAGCATTCAAATGATATAAATGAGTATGGATTTGCCTTCCTGACATTCAAATCATGTTAAGCTCTATTAATTATGTGTGAAGAGACCTAATCCTGAAGCCTAAAAAGAGATGTGCTACAAGGACTCCAAAAGGATGGACGGAGGTCCAGACTTAGCAGGATGAGGAGAGGTACCACTTAAGGCCAGGACCAACTGCATCTAAAATTACTTCACAAATCAGAATTATAGTTACTCTACTACAGGTAATTAATCTATTACAAGCGTAACGAATTGACTGAAAATCTAGACTGAGATAGTTCAACTGTTGTTTCTGAGTGAAAAGTCTCAATTTGGATTAAGGGAAACTTATTCAAAGAAGCCTATGTAAAGTTAACTTTGGCTAGTCATATGAATTACTTTTTTGTCTATCCAAAGCTAAAATCTCTATTTTAAGAACCTTACTTCAGAGACAATGATATCCATCTGGCGTCGCAATTTCCTTAGGGTATTCATAAGCTGTTCAGGATCTTTATGTATTCCAACCCAGCAGCCATTAACAAAAATCTTGGTTGCACTAAAATTAAAGATTTTTAAAATGCTACATATAGTTATTCCTTATTAAGCAAAATTCATAGAACTACCACCCCCAATAAATCCCCATACGAACTCAGCAATAGCAGCTGGAGAAATTTCTTCTAGATTTTCCATACTCCATTCTTCCAAAAACTCCAGAATTGGAGAAGGTTGAGATCCGACAGAAATATAAGCCATCAGGGCTAAATTCTTCACAAGTCCTACTGCATGGCCCTTTAGAAAAAAAAAATTAGGTGGTTATTATTTTAACAAAATACATCAAAAATCTATTTCAAACCTTTTTTATTTAGTTTAATGTTCCAATCGTATCTACTCTAACCATAGTATTTATAAATCTTAGAACTGAGATGCATTACAAAATGAATTTTAAAAATAAGGATATGTTAAATTAATGATTAGCTGGATTGATGTTTTGAAATATTTACCTCTGGAGTCTCAGCAGGACACACCATTCCCCACAATGTATTATGCAACTGTCTTGGCTTTGCTAATTTACCGTCTCTACCAATGGGCGAGTTCAAACGACGCAGGTGAGAAAGAGTAGATGCAAAGGTCAGACGGTTTAATACCTGGAGAAATGAGCAACAACTAGGTTAATCTAGATTCATTTTTCTATGAAAGGTTAACAAATACTACCAATCTATCAACAAACTTTTCTGCATATACCCTCATTTCTTAAGGAAATTCTTAAACATACTGTCAAAGAAAATTGTAGTTTTCTTAAGAAAGCATACATGCTCAATTTGTTTGAAGTTTTTGAGCAATTTCCCATCACCAGTCCTACAAGACAGCTATTGTCTTTGAGGCAGCTACATGTACATTGAGCTGATACTTGGAAACACTCTTAAAATACAGTATAACAAAAGAGATGCTTAAAATAACTGAATATCCAACAATTAACTTCTAATTTGGGGGCCTTTAAAATATGGATAATATATTTTAATGGGGACTATTTTCTCCTCCTAAGCATTCTAATTTATTCAAAATTATGCTGAATAAAATGAAATGCCAAAAATTAAGATTTTCTTTGCAATAATAAGCAATTAACAAATAGATTTCCACAACTGAATCCCTAATGATTTCACATCTGGAAAAAAATGCAGCATCTTACAGACGAACAGCCCAGAAAAATAAATTCATGTCTATATTGCTAGGACTCTACTACACATTTTAAAGTTAAACTAGAAGTTACATTTGTGCAAACTTTACCTGAGATACTCCCGCTCTAGCCTGGTGAGCCTTCTTTTGATCGCCCCAGTTCCCAGTAGCTAAAGAATATTTTAAGCCATCTGATATGATCCTTGTTTTAATTGCCAACTCCAAGTTGAAGTCCTTGCCTCTATCAATAAATTTCTGTGCATATATCCTCACTTCTTTAAGTAAATTCTTAAACATGCTGCCAAAGAAAATGATTTTTTAAAAACATTTATCACACTCACATGTCAAATATTTGACTAAGCACACAAAAAATCACTGGCAAAATTAATATAGCCTAGAATTATTTACCACAAACAGCCCAGAAATTATTTTATGAAGCTTTGCTGGGAAACACACACGCACGCACGCACACACACACACCCCCCAGCAAGGAACAGGTCCCTGTGTTTCCGTGATTTCCATAAAAGTGTCACCAGTTTTGCTCCTGTCATGCCTCATCCAATCTAGTTCTTATTTCTCTGTAATTCTTACCCTCTAAACAGAAATGCAAGCAGCGGCCCAGCCAGATCCAGCCTCTTGTTTCCATAGTGATCTCTGTCATCCAGTTCCCTTCTTCCCAGGGCAGCCAGAAGTAATCTATGTACCATATACCTACAACCAAAAAGAACCCCACGTTTCTTTCTTTTTTTTTTTTTCAGGATAAGAGGATATGGAAAGCATTTACCCTAAGATAAAGTATAAAGTTCACATCTTTTATAGACATATAGCAGAAATTTCAATCAGACATTTTTTCACTTTGAACAAAAATTGCTCTCTTAAAGAGCAAAGCATTCAAAACAAAACAAAAAACATACCCTAGGAAATAGGCTTTTTTTGTTTCACAAAAGTCACTGACGCCAACGTGAGGAAGCATTTCTTTTTGTAAAACTTCTTTAGCATATTTAATTCTTTTCTCCTTAGTAACACCAGGCTTTGCTCCTCTTGAGCCAATAAAATTGAGTGCAACATTCTGCTCCTGGATGACAAAAGCTTCATCCAAAGAAGGTTTGACCTTTATATTAAAAAATTAAAACAATAATTACTTTCAATTCAACATCTCACACTCCAAATAAGTCCTTACCATCTAGTTTGTTCTTTATTAAATATTCTTAATAAATCTTTTCTGTACTTGAAAATATAAAATAAATCATAAAAGCACAGTTATATAAGTTGGATGGGACCATGGAAATCCAAGTTCTTTGATAAATTCCAACAATTAAAACTTCCCTTGAAAAAACTACCAGGAGCTGCACTTTTTAAAGCTTTCAATGAGGAATAGTAAAATAAAAGTTTTCAAGAAATAAAAAATGTAAGAATAGTTCAGTATGTTTTCTCTGCCATCAAAGTTACAACTATTCTAAATTAAGTGCACACTATTTTACTAAGGTAAGGTGCTGGGATGGGATATTCCCTCTGAGAGAGGAGAGCGAACCAAAAAATGACAACATTCCAACAGCTGGAGTTCTTTTGCTTCCAGCTATGTTCTGTGACTGGTACACATTGAATTTAACAAATATTAAGTACTTATTTCTATGTCAACATTATATGATGAAAATTAATATTTACAGTGCTAACCTTGAGGTTAAGAATCAGTCATCAAAAAAAGGTTAAATGGTAGTTATTTTACTGTTTTCTCACTAAGTTAAGAATATAGGCTAGGGAGTTTTAGGAACTTTTTCAACAATGAGGGTTAAAACAAACTGAAGATTCATTAGAAATCCTCAATTAACTAGAAAATTAAGTTAACTCATTAGCCAAAAACCACCTAATGCCTGAGTATTTAAGTTTAAAGTGGTTTTTACAAAGCCCTTCAACAGACTAAATGAGCAAATGAATTTGATCTTCACATACCATTTCCATCATCTCTGGATCTTCAAAATCATAAATAATATGTTCTAAGATGTCTCTGTCAGACACAAAACCTAATGCTCGAAACACAATGATAATGGGAACTTCTTGCTTGATGTATGGTAAAGTAGCTACAATACGCTGACCAATTGCGCTCTTCTTTGCACCCTATAAAACAAATAGCACACACCAAAGTACATAAATATTTAATATCTCACTCTATGCATTTCATAAGCACACCTCCCACACAAAGAGCAAGATTCATATCTGCTGAGAATAGGCTCACATTTTTCACATTTGAATTAAGGGGAAAGTGCTCAAAGACAAAATCCCCACAGCCTCACACACTTTCCCACCAAGGTTCCCTCAGACCTGTACAACAGGGAGGTGCACTCTGGCTGTTTAGGAATTAACTACTGCCCCACATGCACACCTCCTGTGGGTGAGGGGGAATGGAGAGGAAACATGCCCAGAAAGTTGAAAGAAGGTAGATCAGAAATTAAAAACAAATGTTAACTCAGTGCTAAGCCAGAAGTGGCTTCCATTAATGCTCCTTACCTGTCCTCCTCTTGCAAGCATGCTAACCCATATAGTACTTGTGGGTCGGGAAGAATTCTCCAGACATGACCTACATTCTCCTGTATATGCATATTTGGAATCTTTTTTGGCAAACACATATACTGTATTTGTTGCCATTTTTTCTTGGGCAATTAAAACCTATACAGAAGATGGGGGGAAAAATTCTAAATGTTAGCCATAAAACACATTAAAATCCCCAAATAGGGAAAAAAAGCATCCAAATTTGCATGTTTAGTCTATGATAATATAGTATAGAAAAATAATACTGTTAATGGTTTTAGTTTCCTTTAGTCTAAAATTACTAAAGCATTTTATTTAAAGATTAAGTCTTCATCACTACAAGATATTCATGTTGTACAAAACTCTAGGCAGTACGAAACAATTCACGTTGTTCTAAATATTAGATATATTTTCTAGACACCGAGGCAAAAGTTTAAGCTAGTTTAAATTCTAACAACCAAATTTCCCATGCCTCCACCAAGATTCCTAAAGTTTGCTTACACAATACTGTAATTTTCCAACTTTAACTTGTTGTCATTTTAAAAATATATAGCAATGTTAATTTGTATAAGAAATGTTCATTTTACCTTTTCTGATCCATTAATAATGAAATAGCCACCAGGATCAAGAGGGCATTCATTTAATTCACAGAGATCACGGTCAGTTAAACCATTTAGCAGGCAGTATGTTGAACGAAGCATAATTGGAATTTTTCCTATAAATGTTTTTTGATGCTGTGTCTGAAGCTGTTCTTCTCCCTCTTTAATAACTGTTTTCGTGATATCCACATAAAGAGGAGCGGAATACCTTTGAAAATAAAAACAAAGTGAACTTCGTTTTCTTTTCTCCTTTTTTAACCTCTGTTACAAAGGCAGCTAGTGGTGTAGTGGACAGAGTGCTTGACTGTGAGTGAAGACCTGAGTCAAATCCTGTCTCAGATACTAGCTACGTGCCTCTCTTAGTCTCAGTTCCGTCATTTGTAAATTGGGATAATAATACCACCACCAATACATTTGTGTGTAAGGAACAAACTTTCTGGTGCTATATAAACGCCATGGGGGGTGGGGGGGAGGGGTTGTCATCTACACTGTGTTAAAATAATATCACAGAGACTGCATGTTGGATGTGGAATCAGGAAGAACTGAGTTCAAAATCTGCCTTATTTATTACTATTGGCCTTCCCTATTAGACTGTGAGCTCCAAGAAGACAGAGACTATCTTTTGTTTTTTCTTTGTATCCCCCGTATTTGTCACAGTGCCTTGCACGTAGATGGCCCTTAATAAACAATTCTTATCTAACCCAAGGCAAGTCACTTAACATCTCAGTCTCAGTTTCCTCATCTATAAAACAGAGATGACAGAAACCATCCTTACAGGGTTGTTGCAAGGATCAAATGAGATACTATGTAGAAAAGGCCTTGCAAACCTCTAAGTGCTATATAAATGCAAACTATTACTATTATTTTTGCAAGGGAAGACTTGTGGGATGGATGGGGGTGTGTGACATATCTGTAAATCAATGTGCTAGAAAAATAAAAGACATTAATGAAACAAGAAAAGAAAAACAAGAAAGTTTTGGCATGATCCAGATATTCCCTAATTATTAATCCTCTATTTGGATTAGATGAACAGAGCATAATTCTTTCATGAATAGTTCAGTTATGCAGTGCACTGCGTTTTGCTCACCCTGATACCAACATGGCTACTGGATGAGGTGCCACGAGATTATGTGGCCTGCCCATGCCTTAAAAGGTTACACATCAGCTGCCAACAACAAAGAAATGTTTCTTACGTGAGATTCCTCAATCTGGCTTCATTTGGCATCATAGGTGAAGGAGCCCCATCTCTTTCCCAGTGAGTAGGCTTGGAGAGATAAATCTGTTCAAACTTCAGCAGATATCGAGGCTGGAATTAGACAAAAATATAGCAAATTCAAATCAAGGCATAATCACATTTTTACAAAAGTTGCAATGATTCCCGCTGCTGACTGCCAATACATTTTAATTAGATCAGTAGGGCAAGCACAATCTATATGGTTTCAGTTTCCTTTTCCATCCAGCTTTCAATACCAGGCAGCTCAGTGAGGCAATGCAGTGAACAATGTTAGACCTGCAGTTAGGAACCCCTAAGATCAATCTTGCCTCAACAGGTCACTGAACTTCTCTGGGGAGAACAAACTGTTCTGAGGACCAGATGATGTAAAGTGCTTCAAAAACCTTAAAGTGCTACAGAATGCCAGTTATTAGCATCAAATCCTCTATCTGATCAACATGGTATGAAATTATCTGGGCCCTGAAAAGTCAGCATAGACATTCTGTACTTGTAATTTTAGACTTACAAGTTTTCTTAACATTCAGAAGTAAAACACAAATGAAGATTTTTGAATGACCTGAAAACAGTAAATCTGTTGCTGAGTTGTTTATTCAAGAGTGATAAAGTATTTAAACTATCCACATCATGATTCTTAAGACCAGGCAGTTAACTGAGTCCTATGGGATTAAACCTGTGATTCTGAGCCCATGCTCTTAAAAAAAATGTACCTAATGGCTCTTTTTACATCTGAAAATTCAGGCATAATGGACAAGATGCCAGGCAGACTGCTTCAAGTAAGTTCTAAGCAGAGCCAGGGTAGCCATGGTTAGGTGCATGAATGGTTTGGAAGCCTGAAAATAATAGTAAGACAGTCAGCACCCGAGCCAACAGGTCAATCTGTCCCTTCCTTTCTGTTCCAAGGGCTATCTCCAACCTCAGGACATCATTACCTGACCACTGAACTATAGACTATTGTTTACAGTCTATTCCCACTCCAGAACATCCTAAAAATGTCTGTCACATCCTCCTAAAACACTGTTGCACACATATGTTTTGTTTAAAGAGAAAAAAAAACTCTTCAGTGGTTCCAGATCACCTAGAGAATAAAGTCCAAACTCTTTTACTCTAACATTCAACACCATCCAGAATCTGACCACTATCTGGATTTCCTTCTAGCCAAATTAGTCTACTTAATTACACCTCCAACACAACATGCACATTACCACCACCTCACCTTTTCTCACACCATTCCCTCCATCAGCAATTCATTTCATCATCCTTTGCTTATTATTACATGGGCACCTTTCTTGGCTCCGTATCCATGACATGCTCTTGTACTTTGGCTCCAGTCCTTTGGCTCTGGGTTTCTGACTCATGAGAATACACAAGATCTAGCCTAACTCAGACCGGCCACACTGCTCCTCCCATCATCTTCATGCCATACCCCCTTAACCTCCAACTTTCCATCTCTAGCTCTAAAATAGTTATCAAATTAACACTATTATTCCTGGTATGAATGTATCAATCAATTTATGTCTCCACTCACTATCGTGGTAACTTTCTTTTTTTGTTTGCTCTGTTTTTTTTTGTTAATTAATTAATTTATTTTTAGTTTTCAACAATCACTTCCACAAGCTTTTGAGTTTTAAATTTTCTCCCCCTCTCTCCCCACCTCCCTCCCTAAGATGGTGTGCAATCTGATATAGGCTCTACATATACATTCCTATTAAAAATATTTTCAAAAAAAATTATTTTCACATTAGTCATGCTGTAAAGAAGAATTAGAACCAATAGGAGGAACCACAAGAAAAAAAGAAACAGAACAGAAGAAAAACAAAAGAGAAAATAGTATGCTTCGATCTGCATTCAAACTCCATAGTTCTTTCTCTGGATGTGGATAGCATTTTCCATCATGAGACTTTTAGAGATGTCTTGGATTCTTGCATTGCTAAGAAGGGCTAAGTCTATCAACATTAGTCATTGCACAACATGGCTGTTACTGTGTACAATGTTCTCCTGGTTCTGCTCACTTCCCTCAGCATCAGACCATACACGTCTTTCCAGGTTTTTCTGAAGTCCATTTGCTCATCATTTCTTATAGCACAATAGTATTCCATTCCATTCATATACCACAACTTGTTCAGCCATTCCCCAATTGATGGACACCCCCTCAATTTCCAATTCTTTGTCAGCACAGAAAGCGCTGCTATAAATATTTTGGTATATGTGGGTCCTTTTCCCACTTGTATGATCTCTTGGGGATACAGCCCTGTAAGTGCTATTGCTGGATCAAAGGGTATGCACATCATCATAGCCTTTTGGGCATAGTTCCAAACTGCTCTCCAAAATGGTTGGATCAATTCACAACTCCACCAACAACGCATTCGTGTTCCAATTTTCCCACATCTTCTCTCATGGTGACTTTCTTGACCAAAATATCAACACAATCAAATCTCAAACTGACTGTACAGTCCTTGAAAACAAAGGACTGTATCTGACGCCTCATTATATACCCAACAATGCCTCACAAAGTAGGTGCTCAATGATATTTTGTGAGGACCAAATTTGATGTGCTAGAGGGTAGGAAAAGTAATGAACCCACCAAGGGATTGAAACTAGTAGGCCAGGTTTGGTATTCTGCATTACAGGGAATAGGAAAAGAAGAGGTAGAAGGCACGAACCCCTCTCCCTTCTTTTCTGTTGATCTCTCTACTCTAGCATTTCTCCCTTCTCTCCCTCTTAGCTTTTTCTGCCATTCTGTCCATCTGGTTCAAAGTGACTGTCTCTCAACCCAGAGATTTCAGGTTAGGTCCTTCCTTTCACTCAAACTGTTCCAAGAGGGCAGTTAGGTGGTACAGTGGATAGAGCTCTGGCTTTGGAGTCAGGAGTACCCAAGTTCAAATCTGGTCTCAGACATTTGACACTTCCTAGCTATGTGACCCTGGGCAAGTCACTTAACTCCAATTGCCTCACCAAAAACAAAAAAAAAAAAATTGCTCCAAGAGTTATTTCTCATCCACTCTAAAGATGAATGCAGTAACATTTTCTGGCATTATCTGCTTTTAAAAAATGATTCATACTAATGGCACAGATATTGAGAACAGAATGTGTTAAGAAATGAATAAATGTATTCCCATACTATTTCGGGTAATACTCTCTTTATTTCACTGGCAGACCAGCCTTCAGGCAGAATATCAGTAGAGCAGTACAGCTGAAAGACCCCTGGACTAGGAAACACAGGAAACATCAGTAAATTCTAGTCCTGGTTCTGTCATTAGCTCACTGTGTGACCACAGGCAAGTCACTCTGTGTCTTAGTTTCTTCCCCTATAAAAAGAAATCATCCAGTTTGACCACTCAAAGGGACCTTCCAACCTCAATGCTCTATGATTTCTTTTACTTTTGATTATACATGTAGGCTCTGAGGATAACCCACAGCAAATTTACAATCCCAGGATGGTTTCCCCTCATCAACCAACACACCACCTTTTTATTTTTATTTATTATTTATTTTTTTTGCAAGGCAATTGGGGTTAAGTGACTTGCCCAGAGTCACACAGCTATTAAGTGTTACGTGCCTGAGGCCGGATTTGAATTCAGGTTCTCACGAATCCAGAGCTGATGCTCTATCTATCCACTGCGCCACCTATCTGCCCCTTAAATCACCTTTTTAAATCACCATTCTGTTTCACTGAGGTATATAAACTCACTTTAATATTAATGTAATCTAGATATTATTAAGAAGTCAAGTATGCTTTGAGGAGGAAAAAGAGGTAAAGCCAAAGGATGGACTCTACAATGAAAAGAAATTAATTTTATTATCCGCACAAATGTACTCCTTCAATAGTATAGATAATCAAGGTGGCTGTATGTGCTCCCAAATAAAACAGCCATTAAAAATGCATATTATACTATTTGCCTTTAAGCCATGAAAGGTATGAAATTACAAAAATCAGAAGCTATTAGAGATGTCTTCTGGACTATCTTACCGGTTCTTCAACCTCTCCAGTAGCATGCTGAGCTTCAGCTTGTAAATCTATAGGTGGGGCATCCTCCACAATTCTCTGCACAGACATCTGAATGAACTCATCAAAAGAATCCAGTTGTTGTCGGACCAAACCTTTCTCATCAAAATAAGAACTGAGAAAATAGTTCAAAGATTAAAGTCAATTATAACATAAGAATGTTTTCATTGATGTTTTCAATTTTCCTGTTATCATTCTATTCAATAATGATCAACAGAACACCTACTTTGTGTCTAGCAGTGTATGACATATCATGAGATGGCAAAAATGCACAAGACATTGTCCATGTGCCTGAGCTTACATCTACTTGAGGAGACAATATTTATACATACACAAATATCAAAAACTGTAAGATAAATATTAGAAACTATCAATGATGAGAATAAAACTAAGCACCAAATTGTGGTAAAAAACAGTAAGTGATGTACGATTTCAGCGAAAGGAGAAATCAATGTAAGCTAGAGTAGTCAGAGACAGGTCAGCCAGAGAAGGATGTAAGTGAGCACTGAAATATGGGAAGGGAATTACTAAAGAAGAAAAGGTGTGGGATTAAGCAGCTTGTTTAAGAAACAGTGAGGAGATAAAATCTAGTGAGCCTAGATAAAACGGCTGGTTCAAGCTGAACGAACAGTGGACATAAGGTCAGTTAAATGGTATAAAGTCAGAATAAATGACTTTAGACTTTAGGAATATTAGTCAGATAGAAGCAGGTAGAACAGACATTAGAGGAAAGACACCGAAGTAAGAAATCATAGCTAAGAGCATAAGGTGATAAAGGCCTGGACTAAGGCGGCAGCAACAAGAATGGAGAAGCACTTCAAAGAAGAAATGCCAGGACTAAGTAACAAAAAGAGAATGAACAAAAGGGATGGGTCCAAGATGACTACAAGTTTCTAGACTAGGAGACAGAGAACTGTAGTGCCATTAATAGAAATAAACTAGTTCTGAGTAGGAGGAAAGGAGAAGGAAATGATTATAAGCTTAGTTTGGGGCATGCTATTTTGTTTGAAGCGAAAGCAGCTATCCAAGTGAAGTGTCTAGAGTAGTAGTTAGTGATGCAGGACTAAAACTGAAGTGAGGAGTCAAAATGAAATACAGAAATTGACACGTCACCTTCAAAAGTGAGAGTTACAATCATTTGAACTGATGAGCTCTCTAGAGGAGGGATTCAGAATGATCAAAGAAGTAAATGAGGAAAGGGCAGAAACACAGAAGGCAGTTCATGTGTTTGTCTTCTCCCCAAACAAGAAATGATCCTTGGGGGAAAGACTCAGGGAATAGGGCAGTGAGGGAAATTAAACAGAACTACTGGGAAACTGAAGAACCATAATTATGTAGCGTCATTAAAATTAAAATTTAATAAATATGGATCAAGTGGACTGCAGGATTAGAGATATAGAGCTGGAACAAACCTTAGTCCAATCCCTTTCATTTGACAGAGGAGGAAACTGACAGGGCCAGAAAAGGCAAAGACTACCAATTCCAGTGCTCTTTCCAGTACACAATGCTGCATATCAATGGCAATATACTAGGGGCTAGCAAATACACAGAAGAAGTGCTTCCCGCCCTCAAAGAGCTTACAATCTATTAGCAGAGATAAGACATGCATACAAGTAAGGAGGGTAAGTATATAAGAGAAATGCAAAGTGCTAGGAGAGATTTAAAGAAAGATTACTTTCAGCTACGGGAGTGGAGAGTGTAGAGCATTTGGAAAAGCCTAAGTTGGGCCTAGAGAGAGGCTTAGAGGTGAGGGGGAAGTACATGTTCCAAACATAGGGAGAGGCCTACCCACAGAAAAGCATATAGGCAAGGAAAGGGCAGGAAGAATTAATGAACAGTAAGCAGTTTATTTTCTCAAGAAAACAATTATATGTGAAAGGGATAAATTACATGTGAAAGATAACACTCAAAAGGTGAACTGGAATCAGGATATGACAAGCTTTGAAATTCAGCCCTTTGACCAAAGTCTGTGGCCTTTATATGGCAGATAACAGGTAACCCAATAGACCTTTTCAAATACGGAGGTGATGTGATCACAACTCTAACAATGCTGTGTTAGAGGAATCAGAACAAGGAATCAAAAAGAACAATTAGTGCCAAAATCCAGGAAAGAGGTAATGAAGGTCTGGGCTAGGCGAGTGGCTGTAGGAATGGAAAGGAGGGATCCAAATAGAGATATATAGGGTTTTGTAACTAAGTTCTCTTTATTCATTTCATGAATGAGTTGTGTTTTAAAATTTCTCAGTTATCTGGAACTTGAAATGCTTCCTCTGCAGAAACAAATGTTAGTTAAGTTCTAAAAAGCCTAAGTCTATAATGTACCTGAGGTATTATACCTGGAAATCTATCTCAACTTCCATTTAAAACAATGTTTCCATAGAAAATAATGATCGAAATTCCAATATGAGATGTCAAAAATACATTCTTTTCATTTTATGGTCACAGGAAAGAGATGTGATCTCCCTCAGCTCCATCCATAGATGGAAAGACCCTTATCTTTCCAGTAAGACAGGAGCTGATGAAAAGAGGGTAGAAAGCAGACAGGGGCTCTGGCAAAGAAGTGATGATCTAGACTCCAGATGTCCTTTTATTAAGGGGATTTGTTCTGTGAAGTTTGCATTCAGTCAAAGGGCCTCATTTGAGGACCTAGAGGACCATATGTGGTCTCAAGGTTTCCCACCCCTGATCTAAAGTAAGGAACCTGACGATAGCTTGAGAAGGTTAAGAGAAAAGAGAGCTCTGTGAATGGTGAGAAATATAGCAACAGGTAAGACAATGTGAGAATGAAAACAGACTTTTTCCATTCCTTTAAAAGCTGGAAAAATGAAATGCTTTATTTCAAATAAAATGAAAAATGTGATAAATTATACTATTTTACTCTCAATCAATCTCCCAGACTTTCTGTTAAGAACTACTTTTTTAGTTAGCTAAGAAAAGTCCTTCTGTCCAGATCACTTTCTGACCTAGAGTGTGTTATGACATAAAGCATTTTCCTTATATCAAAAGTTTACTCAAAGAACCCTTCAGTTTCCTTGAAAAAAATTACCTAATAACAATCCAGCAAGCTTCTTGCCACAAATCTGGAGTGATTTCATCATCATCTTCATCATATTGCATATCTACAAAGAAAAATCATAAAATACTTTATTACTTTTCTGTATTACAATAACATACATTGCTGCTCTTCAGAGTAAATAATGCAAGATTTTTGAAAATTAAAACTAAACCTTCTTCCCAAAGGACTCATGATGAAAAAAATGCTATCTACCTCAAGAGAGAGAATTGATTAACTCTAAGTGCAAATTGACATATAATTTTCTCACTTTATTTTTCTTGCTTTTGTGAAATATGACTGATATGGAAATATGCTTTGCAAGATTTCACAAGTAAACTGATAACAGCTTGACCTGTCAATGGGTAGGGAAGGGAGTAGGAGGGAAACAATTTGGAACTCAATATTTTAAAAGATTGCTAAACTGGGGGGGGGGGGGCAACCCCCTAAACTTTTGTTCTTGATTTTCTAAGTCTTTTCCCAATTCCCTTAATAAAATAACATGCATACACTCTCACGTTCATATCCCGAACAGATAATCCTCAACTCACTAAGGTATTTTTTTTAATCATTTGTAAATTAATCAAGAAAGAAATGAAAGCAGCCAACAACTTGTTAGCAACTGAAAGCTACATGTCTATATATTATGAACATTTCTTCAGGAAGACAATTGTATAATACAGGATGTAGAAAACATTAAATGGCAACAAAACAATAAAATGACAGGAATCAATCAACATGTAATTATTGATAACTACTAATAACTACTCTATACCAGCTACTGTGTTAGGCACTGGGGATATAAAAATCAAAAAAACAGTCCTTATGCACCAAGAAGCCTTGAGGGCAAGGACTATCTTTCGCCTCTTTTTATATTGCCAGAACTTAGCACAGGGTAAATCGTAGGTGCTTTACAAATGTTTTATTGTTTATCGAACAACCTTCTAATGGAGGAGACAACATAAACACACGTAATAATAAGACATGTTGTTGGGGGAAGGAGAAGAGGCGAGAAGATACTTCAAGGAGCTAGCATCTAAGTTAAGGTTTTGTAGAAAGTTTTAAGAGGCAAAGTTGAAGAGAGAGTGTATTCCAGGAACAGGGGACGGTCCCTGTACAAGGCACAAGCTTGGAAGATGGAATGTTTTGTGAGGAATAGCAAAAAAAGCCAACTTGGCTAGACTGGAAAGAACTGTAGTCGCATAAAGATTAATTCTTATATAAAGCTAATTCTAAAATTATTACTATATCTACAATCAGATCACTAAATGATTAGAAGATAACAACAAACACTAACTTAAAAGGATAAAGATGAGAAAACACTGTACCATTACAGCAACTTCAACCTGACCTAAACAAGCTGTTGGCTCTGAAAAAGAAGTTTAACCCATGTAAAAGTCTCATGAACAGGCAGTCCAAAAGAGCCCAGAAATCAGTTAAGGAAGCCAATGAAGGACGGACAAGGTGTTACAATTACATAGATTCTAAGGACAATACCAGTGTAGAGTATAAACTCATTTGCAAAACATTATGGAACAAAACAGTGAAAAACAGTAAAGAAAATGAGCCTTCAGATAACAGCTCAACTTCCACAACGTAGCAATACTAGATGATTCTAAAGCAATGAAATTTTGATTCCTATGTAGAAGGCTACAAAGTCAAATAGCCCCTGCCCTCAAATCAACATGGCGGATATGTTGCCTGTGGAAATACAAAGAGACCAAAGATGGAATGCTAAGGTTAAGGAGCAGCAAGCAGATCTGTTTTGAGAGAATGCAGCATCTTGTAGAAGGATGAAATAGTACTGGAAAAAAAGGTAAGATCCAGATAGTAAATGCTTTACATGATAGACTGAAGTTTGTATTTTATCTTAGAGACAATAGGAAGCCATAGAAAGTTTTTGAGCAGAGGACTGCTCAATCTGTGAAGGTGATTTTGTTGAGTTATATGGAGAGATGATAGGAGGAGGGAGAAACTGGGAACAGAGATGCTAATTTGGAAGCAATTGCAAAAGAGCAGACAGGATCTGTGTGGTTTTTGACAAGTCACTTATCTTTTCTGGGTCTCAATTTCCTCATTTGTAAAATAAAGGAATCAGACCAAACGACCTTGATGGGGCCCTTCCATCTCTAGGACACTCTGAAAACACTGTACCATTGCAGCAACTTCAACCTCACCTAAACAAGCTGTTTAGTTAGCATTTGTAAACTCAATCACAAATAGGACAAACACAAAATGAACTAGAAATGCAGTCATTTTTAAACTTCAAGGTAAGTGGAATACAATATTTAAACGCCACCACATTAATACCCAATGTACTATGTGAAAAAATGGTAATGATACTTTTTTCTTTAAAAAAAAAAAGTCAGGAAAAACTATTGGGCTTAATTTTACATACAAAAGAAATCTGTGCTGACCCTTTATAACTTGGGGAAAAAACATGCAAGGGGCAGCTAGGTGGCAGTGGACAGAGCACCAGCCCTGGAGTCCGGAGGACCTGAGTTCAAATCCAGCCTCAGACACATAACATTCAATAGCGGTATGTCTCTAGGCAAGTCACTTAACCCCAACTGCCTCATCAAAAAGAAAGAAAAAGAAAAAAACATTCAAAAAGAATGAAAAACATTAGTGATTTTACAACCTTAAGAAACATTTTAACGATAGCATCAATCACTGTGTGAAAATTGTACGTATTAACGTTTCCTAGTTCTAATGAGAAACATTCAGATTATTTTCCACAGTACATCTTTAAGGTCATACAACTAATAAAGAAGTGTAGAAAATATAAGGCCCTACTGTGTTACTGGCTTAAAATAAAATTTTGCCTACATTATACCAAAGGTAGCATGAAGGTCCCCCTTTAGCAAGGTGTCACCTTTGAGTATATTAAAATCATATAAGAATGTATGAGCAATGCAACTAGGGATAGCATTACTCAACAAGCCACTAACTGGTGAAATCAAATGAAGTATGGAAAATTGAGAAAATCAAACTGATTCTCTTCGGTAATTGATTTCACTTTGCATCACCACTGACATTTTGTGTAACTACCTAAGTCATGTTTCATCTGACTCTGAGTTAGGTTTGGAAGTTCAGCTTTCCTGTAAGTCAAATCATTGTTCTATTCCTGTGTCAAGGATATCAGTTATCCTTGAAGGATGAAGGTAGATGCCAGGGAGTCTGGTTTATTACCTCTATACCACTGGCTGTCCTTCAAGAAAGTCTGGTCTGTTACCACTTTGAAACCAACTAGCCATGCAAATGCATACCATCAATGAGCTTTCCATAGCGACAACATGGAAGGAAGGGTTGTTGCTAGCCCTGCACTCCAAATTTCTAACATTTAATATTGTTTTCCTCATCTATGATGCTGCAGGTTTTGTAACCAATCATACTGTTTTCCCTGTCTATGATGTTGCCTTCTAGTTTTTGGATGCTCCTCCTCTTGTCCATAAAAATAATGCCAGCCCTCATTCAGGGTCTTAGCTAGCTGAGGAGGCTGAGCCCCTCTTTATTGGAAAAGTCATGCTTTGCTAACAAGCTGATTGTGCTTGGTACTCTGTGCCTCAGTTTACCTTAATTTCAATCAAGACAACATAAGGAGACATGTTCACCTAACGTACTGAAAAGTATCATGAAAAATGTGTTGCAGAGTGAAAATATAAAGATTCCATGTTGATGACAAGGTTATCCTACTATGGAGGGGAGGGGATTAGGAGGGGAGAAAGACATTAATCAAAACTAGCTTTAAATTTTAAATCAATAATACTAGGGCTTCTGGAAAGGGCATGTAAAATGACTCCCCAATCAATCAATTCACAATCCCTGTGACTCCCTTCCATGGACACCACTCCCTTACATGTGTTGTCATCCCCTATTAGAATATAAGACCAGTAACTGCAGGGTCTTTCTCAGATTTCTGAATTTATATCCACAGCACTTACCATAGTATTAGCACATATTAAATGCTTAATGCTTTTTCATTAATCAACTTTTATGGTGAGATGGCCTTACTATCTGTCCTACTGCTACATCTTCTAAACTCTTTGGCATTCTAATCTGACCTCATGATGTACCCTAAGTACCCTGGGTTTTGCCATCATCCACCTACTGATGCACCGTGGGGACTTCCTGACCTTTCCATCCACCTCGAAGATGAATCTCATATGCATTATCTACCCCAAATAGAGTTACAGTTCCTTGAGAGCAGGGTCTGCTTCATTATTTCTATTTATATCCCCAATTCTTAGGATATAATAATTCCTTTTTCTTTTTTCATTCATTTATTTAAATTTGCAAAATATCAAGAGGGAGAATGAGGGTGGTAATCAGAATGATAACAAAGCTAAAGACAAGATAAGAAAGAAAGTACTGGAAAAAAAATTAATGCCTATCAACTAAGGAATGGCTAAAAAAATTACATACATGAAGATAACAAAATGACTGAAGATAAAAGACAAAATACAAATTCAGAGATGGATGGGAAGAAATGTAAAATGATGTATGCATCACGCAGAACCAGGAAAACAAAATATAGCACTGTGAAAAATACAAAAACAACAAAAAATTCAAGAATGATGTTTCTAAAAATATTTTAGAGCAAGTTTCTCTGATAAAGGTTTCACTTCTTAAATATATAGAGAACTAAATCAAATTTAAGTACACAAGTCATTTCCCATTTGATAAATGATCAAAAGATATGAAAACGCAGTTTTCAGATGAAGAAATCAAAGCTCTCTATAGTCATGTAAAAAAATGCTCTAAATCACTATTGATTAGAGAAATGTACATTAAAACAAGTCTGAGGTACCACTTCACATCTATCAGACTGGTTAATATGACAGAAAAGGAAAATGACAAATGTTGGAGAGGTCAGAAAATTGAGACACTATTGCATTGCTGATGGAACTGCGAACTGTTTCAACCATTCTGGAAAGCAATTTGGAACTATGCCCAAAGGGCTATAAAACTGTGCATACCCTTTGACCCAGCAATAGTTCTACTAGGTTTGCATACCAAAGAATTTTTTTTTAAATAATGGAAAAGGACCTATATATACAAAAATATTTATAGTAGCTCTTTTTGTGGCGGCAAATAATTGGAAATTGAGAGGACACCCAACAACTGGGAATGGCTGAACAAATTGTGGTACATGATTGTAATGGAATATTATGCTATAAGAGATGATGAGCAGAATGCTTTCCAAAAAACCTGGAACTGATGAAAGTGAAACAAGCAAAACCAGAACATTGTACACAGTAACAGCAATGCTGTATTATGATAAACTGTGAATAACTTATTCTCAGCAATTCAAAGATCCAAGACAATTCTGAAGGACTTATTTTGAAAAATCCCATCCACCTCCAGAGAAAGAACTGAGTCAGAATGCAGATTGCAGCATGCTATTTTTAACTTTATTTTTTTGGTGGTTTTTTTTGGGGGGGGGGGATCTGTTTTCTTTCACTACATGACCATTATGAAAATGTTTAGCATTACCCTAGAAGTATAACCTATATCAAATTGCTTGCCGTCTTAGGGAGGGGGAAAGGGTGGGAGGGACAGAATTTGGAACTCAAAATTTAAAAAAAAAACTGTCAAAAATTTTACATGTAATTGGGGAAAAAAATTCTTTTAAAAAGAATGATATTCCTTGTTCTGTAGACTTTCACCTGGAAGGAACTTTAGAATCCATCTCATCCAACCCCTTCATTTTACAGAAAAGGAAACTTAAGTGTAGAAAGGTTAGATGGGCCCAAGAAGAAGTGAAAAAATTCACCTCCTATTTCCTTCAAGAAGTGGGATACTATGGGTGGAGAATATTGTCTATACAGTCAAACAAATTGTTAGATTTTGCTGAGCCTCTTTTCAAAATCTGTTACAAGGAATGATTCGCTGAGTAACAAAGGGATAGGACTATACCCAGAGACGAATGTAACGTAACAAAAAAACTAGATTCATGAATAAAATTAAGATGGCTTAATTAAAAACAAGATGGGAGGACGAGGCAGGTTAGGAGACTCCAGGCTAGGCTCTAGTGTAACGGACACGTATCAAGATCACGCATTCGGGGACGAATATAATGTAAAACCAAGATACATTAATAAAATTAAGGTGACCATTAAAGACAAGATGGGAGGATGCGGAATTTCAGGAGAAACAAGGCTGGCCTCTCGCGTAACAGACACAGAAGCGCCAGGATCATCAGCTCTACTCATTATGTGTCATGGAGCTCAGTGGTGTCCGGGCCTCAATGTTAAAAGTGGGACCCTCGGGAAGATGGGTAATTAAAAAAAATAAAAATAAAAAAAACAAATAGCCCATCCTCCCTCGGCCCTGCCCAGGAGTTCTTAAGTGGGTTTCTTACCCTCATCCGCGTCGTACATCTTGACAAATAGTTCTCAATAAGCCTAGCAATTAAGAAACGAAAAGAAGCAGACGACACTACCACACACTAGCAAACTCGAGTGAGCTCGAGTTTCCGGCGTTCCCGGCAGACCTTGCGCCTTGACCCTACAACTCAGGTCCAGAACCTTCCGGTTCCTGCGCCGACTTCCGCTCAGCCTGAGATTGAGTGTGCCGCGTCCTGTGGTGGCGCAGCGCAGAGTGGGCGGGCCATTTCGCGTTCCGACTGCGCCGGTGCGTGAGGTGTGCAGAGACGGCGGGGTTGTGTGGGGAGCTCGTTTACGAACCCGTCGGATTCGCGCCTCTAGCAGCTTAGCGTCATTGAGGTGGGAAGAATGTTTGTAGATCTGTCGCGGTGTCTGGGGGTAGGAGACCAAACACCTAGATTAGAATGATTTTCATCCTGTTATTACTGCAAGAAAGAATGAGAGAAGTTGAAATAATACTACTTAGGTTGCGATTTTGCCTTTCCTAAACGCTTTGGGGACTTGAGGGTAGAAGCGAAAATCTGGAATCTACTTTGATCCCTTTTACATCCGCTTTTATTAATTTTCTGTTATTTTCATTTTTGCCTTTAATTTTATTACTTTACTAAATTGTAACCCTAAGTCCATGGCCAGCCATTGATTTTCAAATTGAAGGAAGGTTAATACATGAGAGTACCTTTTCCCAAGAGAAGGACAGAAGGGGCGACGGAGACTGAGTTTGACGGATGACAAGTCCCTGCTAGGCCACCGTACGGGAAGGTCTCGCGGACACGTACTCGAGTCTCGCGCCGCCCCTCCCTCTGTCTGGTGAGCGCACGCCGCTGTCCCCATGCTTCCCCGGAGCTTGTCGCGCAGGCTGCTGCTCCAGTTGCGGCGCGGAGCCGCGCCTCTCGCCGCGCGCCATGGCTTCCGTGCGCTGTGGCTCTCCCCGGGCCGGCCGGCCGCCTCTGCTTTCTCCCCGGTGCGGCTGCAGCACAGCCAGGAGGCGAGGGGAGGAAGAGGGGCGCCGGTCGTGGGCACGATGGTGGACCCCCGCCGGCTGGAGGAGAGCTTCGTGTTCCCGGAGTACGTCCCCGAGCCGGAGGCCGACGTCGAACCGTCAGTGTCGGCGGAGCTGCAGCGGAGGCAGGAGGAGGAGGAGCGGGAGCAGCTGCTGCGGGACGAGCGGCGGCTGGTGCAGCAGCAGAGGAGGATCCGGGAGAAGGGGCAGCACCCGGTGGTTGGGAGCCCCGACTCCACGGTGCCGGCCAGCGGCGTGAACTGCTCCGGCTGCGGGGCGGAGCTGCACTGCCAGGACCCCTCGGTGCCGGGCTACCTGCCCAGCGAGAAGTACCGCAGCTTGGAGGCGCAGACCGAGGCGGGCGGGCTGGCCCGGGCCGTGTGTCAGCGCTGCTGGTTCCTGGTGCACCACCAGCGGGCCCTGCGGGTGCGGGTGGACCGGGAGCAGTACCGAGAGCTGGTGCACGCCGCGCTCCGGCGCCCGGGGCCGGCCCTCGTGCTCTATCTGGTGGACGTGCTTGACCTGCCGGACCCCCTGCTGCCGGACCTGCCCGACCTGCTCGGGCCCAAGCAGCTGATGGTGCTGGGCAACAAGGTGGACCTGTTGCCGGGGGACTCCCCCGGCTACCTGCGGAGGCTCCGGGAGCGCCTGTGGGACGAATGCGCCAGAGCCGGCCTCCAGCCGGCGCCCAGAAAGGCAAAGAGGAGGTCGGCCGGAGCAGGGGCTGGGGCTGGGGCCGGGGCCGAGGTGGGGGCCCCGGCGAGCAAGCCGGCCCGGCCAGGCTGTCTGGTCCAGGACGTGCTGCTCATCAGCGCCAAGACCGGCTACGGGGTGGAGGAGATGATCTCGGCGCTGCAGCGCTCCTGGCGCTACCGGGGCGACGTCTACCTGGTGGGCTCCACCAACGCCGGCAAGTCCACGCTCTTCAACACCCTCCTGCAGTCCGACTACTGCATAGCCAAGGGCGCGGAAGCCATCGACCGGGCCACCATCTCCCCCTGGCCAGGTGAGCTGCGGGGCTCTGCTCAAAGCCCACCTCCCACAGGAAGCCTTCCCCAACCCTACCCGTTCATTTCTCCCCGTTTATCCTCGATGTGGTTTGCTTTGTGTATATTTGCTTGCATGTTGTCTCCCCCATTAGACTGTGAGTTTCTTGAGGGGAGGGACAGTCTTTTGCCTCCTTTTTTATCCCTAGCACAGTGCCTGGCGTGTAGTATGTACTTACTAAATGTTTATTGAAGTCCCTCCCTGCCCCATCCCGCTCTCGCTGTCGAGGTGCTTCCTCGTTTGCCCACGAGGAGGTGTCTGGCACCATCCTGATTAAATCCAGTCTTACTCTGCTCAACCCTTCTTGGGTCCTTATTCGTTTGTAGCCCCCTTGTGTTTGCTCTTTAAGGGGTCTTGACTTGTTTCCTGCATCCCCACGGAGCAAGACAGAGCCTATGCTTTCGAGATCTTAGCGCACCCTCTCTGTCTCCTTCTCTGGCCAGTATAATGAATGCTTGGAGTCGATAACTACTGGGAAAGAGAAAGAGGGACAGTTTTTTGTTTTTGTCTTTATTGATTAAGACTTTGCACTAAAATACATTGCATTTTATTTGCTTCATCATTGTAAAAGTTTACATGTGTTTTGATGTTTCAGGAACAACTTTAAATCTCCTGAAATTTCCTATTAGCAACCCTACTCCTTACAGAATGTTTGAAAGGAATAGGAGACTTAAAGAAGAGGCAGCTAAAAGTGAAGATGATCTTAATGAGCTGGAGCAAAAGCATCTTAATCAGATGAAAAAGCAGGCTTATTTAGTAGGTGAGTATCTTCTCAAGGAACAGATTATGGACTAAGTCCGTTCTAATCCTTTGCTGTGGAACATGAAATCAAAACTCAGAATGGTAAGGGTGACCTCTAACTAAACTACTGTTTAAAAGCAGAGATTAAAAACATTCAGAAAATGGGGGAGAATTCGTTTTTTGGTTTCTTGTGGGGAGTGGGAGTGGCATAGTAGGGTTGTAAAGTTGAATAAGTTGCCTTTCCATTGTCAGACGTAATGGCCCTTTTAACTTCATCCTGTGAGTTATCTGATGTGTTCTTTCCTGTTCAGAGACTCCAAAAAGTAGTAAAGATTGTCATTTCCATGTTGCACCCAGATGCTGACCAGTGTTCCTTTTCCTGCTAGCGGTGATGCTGCCAAGTTATGCTGAGAGCCATTGTGTTTTGAAATCTTCATTGCTGTTCAATCTCAGTTTGAATTCTTCCCATATATGCAACTACATATAAAATATTAACATTTACACTTAATTCTCTGTTCCTTTAACTTTTTTCTCTGCCACCTGCTGACTCTGGAGGTCCCTTCCAGCTCTAAATCTGTGATTCTATGCTAAATCCATTTACTATCCCATAGTGCTGATGCCATAGGCTGCCTAACTCCTGCATAGTACTTAATATTTTCTAGATCTAGAGCTAAAAAGGGACTGACCTCCTCATTTTACAAATAAAGAAAATAGGTCTAGGAAAGAGATTAAGTGACTTACCCAAAAGTATCCATCTACCTGTCCTTAATATTTCTGTGACTTAGTCTTGGTCTCTACATAGTAACTGAATTGAGAGGGACATACATAAAAGGTAGAAATTCAAACATTTTAAAGATCAATAACTTCAAAACTACTCTCCTGTTATAGGAAGAGTTGGAAGAACACTCTGTTCTCCAAAAAATGAGGAAACCACTTTCGAATTTGATGCTGATTCACTTGCTTTTGACATGGAGAATAAGCCTCCGAGAATAACGCATGAAGCACCTGCCAGGCATGTGGAATTGACACCTCAAGAAGTGAAAGATGCTCACTGGTTTTATGATACCCCTGGAATTGTAAAAGAAAATTGTGTATGTATTTTGTTTCGTGGTAAGAAGGTCTTGTCTAAATTAGCAAAAATAAATTTGAGGGAAATGTTGGGCAAAGAACTCTTACCTTCAGACTTAGTTCCACCACGTGTTATAGAACAAATATACAAATGTGGTTTTCTTCCTACAGCAAGTGACTCTGTGAACATGGAATTTCTATTGCAGACATATCTCTTGTACATTTATGGGGGTGGTGTGGGTCAAGGAGGACATGGATAATATAATTTGTTTTCCCTTTTTGGAAGGAAAGCTAGACAGAAATGATGCTAAGTAATATGAAATGTTTGATGGTGTTGGGTAGCTGCATAAAATAAAAAAGTAAAGGGGGTGTGTAAAGAGAATTAGCATTTATATAGCAACTACTATGCCAGATTTTAATAAACACCTTAAAAATATTATCTCTTGATCAACAACAAGCTAGTAAGGTAGGTGCTGTTATTATCCCCATTTTATAGTTGAAGAAACTAAGGCAAACAGACATTCTAAGGTTTACACAGCTAGTAAATGTCTGAGGACAGATTTGAACTCTTCTCTTACTGACTCCAAGCCCAGTACTCTTATCTACCAAGCCACCTACGTGTATGCACTTTCATTATATACCAGATAGTGATTTAAATCATACTTTTATTTATGAATCCATAACTTCCATCATGAAGTTAGTTGGTAATGGCAGATGGACATTTATTTTTTTCTATCAAATCTCTTAAAATGTTTTACTTTTAAGTCATAGAATTCTAGAGCTAAAAGGGACATAAGTGATAAGTGATTCTCAGCCTCAGAAACTCTCCCCCTACTTTCACTTTGACACTGCCCTTCAGCCTTCCCTTTCCTCCTTCCCACCTCTCCTCCCCCATCAGTCTAGCAAATTTTTCCTGGAAAATAACCATTATTTTGGCTAGTTTTTAAAATGTTAATTTTTGTGTTTTAAAAATGATGATGCATTCCTTCAATTATTAAAAGGCTACTATGTGCAGAACACTCTACTAGGTGGTGTAATCACTATGAAAATAGATTATGTTGAGCACTCTAAGGCTTACAAAGTCCTTTGCTTAATTTTGTGAGGTCAGTTCAAACCTGCACTATAAAATAGGATCAAATTTCATTGATTTACATTTTGGACTCATCAGTAGTTCACAAACCATATTCTGAAAACCACCATCCTCATAGCTGTATCAAGGAAAAGGGCATTTTAAAAA